TGTGGATTTGTAAGGTATGGTATGAATGAGAGATCAAATTGTACTATTTTGATTTAAAGATGGTTACAGTGAATTATGGGATGATGAAATTCACTATTTTGAGTTTCAAGATAGTTATGTTAAATTATGGAATGATGGTAAATTTGTTCATTTTGATCGAGAGGACACAATATTTTTTGTGAATTCGTTTATGTAAGGCAATTAGAAACAAAATGCTAGTGTTTTGTCATTCGAGTAGAATCGTTATTTTGAGACCTAAAATTGTTATCTTTCTAAAAAACTATATGAATACGTGAAGACTCAATTATACCCAACAAATCAAATTTGAATCAAGTTTTTTCGGATTTGATGTTGTATAGCTTATATAAACTATTGGGTTAAATTTTATTAAAAAAATATCAGAAAATCAATAAATATGGATAATATTGTTTATATTCTTTATTTTCGGCCCTATCTATTTACACAATTACGTTATAACCAATATGCTTATATTCTGTGTGTGGACGTATCTAAATAGTAAATACTACTATTTACACAATTACGTTATAATCAATATGCTTATATTCTGTGTGTGAACGTATCTAAATAGTAATTACTACTATTTTGCTACACAAATATTGTCGGCGAAGATTCCTGTTATATAATGAGAAGATTCGTATATATTACTAGATTGATGAGTGATGGTGGCGAGATGGAGACAACAACTAAATACTTTATTGTTTAATTATACTTCTATTAACCAAATGGTAAGCTTTAAAGTTGAGTAATTGCGTCACACGTGGCCTCATTTAATCAGAATTTAGGGTAACAGTTAGTGTTATCACTTAATTGACCAAACAACCACTGCATGGTTTCACTTTAAAAAATAATGCAAGTAGTTTTTAATGAAATCCAAATTCACCACCCTATTTTATACAAGAAAGAGATTTTGTTTAAGAGAAAAACTTATGTCAATATATATATTGCAAGCAAGTATGCAACGAAAGTTTACCTTGCAATTAAAAAAAAAGTAATAAAAATTAGGGACAATTACAAAAATGCCACTTTTTGTGTGCACATTTACAAGAATGCTATTTAAAAGTGTCCATTTGCAAAAATGCCACTAATTATAGATTTATAAAGTCTATATCTTAAAATTCTAAACCCTAAAAAATGTTTTGACCCTTAAAACTTCTTAAACTCTCATAACTAAACCCTAATAGAACATAATTAATTCAAACATAAATGATATAAAGAAAAAAATAATTTTGAAAAAGTAGTACTTTTATAAAGATTTCAAAAGTGTGGCATTTTTGTAAAATGACACTTAAAAAATGGCATTTTTTGAAATTTCTTTAAAATTTACAGAATTTGTGATTATAGTACACGATCGTTTGACCAAAGATGCAAACTCCTGAAAAAATCAGTTTACTTTTTTGGTTAAATCTTTAATTATGAATAAAATATCCTGTTACATATATATATAAGAATGTGTTTTTCTTTTAATTCATTTTCATGTCCATATAAATTTATTAGGTACAACTTTATTTAAGAAAATGTTTTTAGTAACTAGTATTCTTAAATTTTATAAAATAAAGATACATCTTTTAAAATATATAAGTTTGGTTCGTAAAAGGAAAAATATAATGAACGTGATTATGAACGCGATCAAATCATTAGTTTGTTTGAAAACATTTCAAATCAATTTTCTTGTTTCAATTGCAATGGCTCCGTTGTTCAGCTGAGAACATTATATCATTAATCAAAATGTAACCACAATGACTCCGTGATTAGTGATTGAGTTAAAATGATGAGTAATTTTTTTTTTTAAATATAGGATAGGCTAGGGTTCGACTAGTAACCAGCTTTCAGTTTTGAATCTTTTGATCTTCTACTTACTTATTATAAATATTTTTAA